TATGCTGATATTGATATCGTCACTTAAGTTTGTATCGCCGTTAAGTAGTGTGTGAAGAGTGACATTACAGTAGGCTGAAAGAGTTTGGAAAAGGCTGTGTCTGATAGTACTGTATTGTTTGCATTCAAAGAAAAACTGATGGTTAGTTTCTACCAATCCACATTGACATAAAGGTGAGTTAACAATATTTTTTCTGTATAGATGGTAGTTTAAAGAACTGCACTCTGTTCGTAGACGTGCATGATATATTTGCCATTTTCGAACACCTGTATAGAAAAATTTTGGACATTTTGTTATGTTTCTATTCAAAAGACACTTAAAAGCAGATAATGTAGGTGCATTTTGTACATCAATTGGTAGTTCATTCCATTCTCTGAGAGCAGAAGGAAGAAAAGCGTTATAGTATAAAGATGTTCTTTTGTGAATGCCTTGTATATCGTTCGAATTTCTTAAATTATAACGTGTGGTTTCACCTACAGACGGAGGGACAATAGTTGATAGGTAGACAGGTGAGAGTCCATTTTTCATCTTATAAAGAAGAATCAATTTATGTTTCCTTCTTCTGCTGTCCAGAGGTTCCCACGGGACCTCTCGTTGAAGCTCATGAAGAGACACAAGTTTAGTAAAAGTTGAAACATTAAATACATTTATAAAATGCTGAGTGAAATATATGTCCTAAAGCCATAGTAACTTCATATCATGAGCGTTCTTTTCTGATAAAATTTTATCAAAGAAATACTTTAGGGATTTAGACTTTCTTTAGGGATTCTGTTTTTATCTATTTCTAATACAGCATCTGATAAAAAAAGATCTTAAAAACTAAGAAAAATCAATATATTTTATCCTGTGACCAGATAAGATTACGCTAGCGGTCTATCATTTCTGATGCTCACTCAACGAAATAAGAAATAAACAACAAAACCAAAACAAAATAGATCTATTTCATGCATGCACACGATTCGAACATCATGATAATTCCTTGTTTAATACAACTGGATGTAATCTGCACACAATTTTTGGACAATCTCATAAAAACACAGAGTGTGCTTGCATAGGAAATAGCATCTTTAAATAAGAATCATAGCTTTTACCAGCTTAACAATCTAAATCAAGTGTCAGATAGTTTACTCTATGAACCCTAAATTTGATATAAACTGAAAAAAGTATTTAAGTTCAAACAAGTGATTCATATGAAAATATAATTACTCGTATAAGGATGAAAATTTAAAGAAAACCATGAATATTATGGTGAAGAAATTGCTTTACAACTGTATGACGACATTATTGATTTGAAATATTAATCATTATCTCCATTGTTTCTGATGTCTCAAATGAACATTGGACATTTAAATGGTCACTTAAAAACGAATTAAAACTGATTCTACATCAATCAATAAATTTTGTTTTATCTGTATAAAGCGCATTTAGACCTGTCAAATTCAATAATATTTTGTCAAATGTTTTTTCAGCATATCTACCTTCCCACTTTCCTGTTTATGATGTAGCGCTTTGCTACAAACTTAAGAAGGAGTATTCAGCTGCGAAGCAGCCGGGTCAATAGATTTTTGAATAATACGCATGATTTACTGCGGAATGACACGATGGACTTTGCGAGTATGAAAAACATTCATATTCATCAGCTTTACACTTCAGACCCAATTTAAAATTTGTTGCAAAACATTTTTATTTACATTTTCCTCAAATGGAAAGACAATGTTTTTTTTATCTCCATATACAAATAATGGACTGTGCAACTGTCTGTAGTCTGAGATTTAATACGATTGTGAAACCAGGCTAAAATTCACGTTTCATCTATAAAAAGCAAAGGTTAACCTAAAGGGGAACTGTTTTACATGGAGCGAGTTGCAATGGATTGCAATAAAACATCTGAATTTTTCATTACTTTTAGAAACTAGGAAACAAGTTTGTTTTGAAGAAATTTTAAATGTATGTATTTTAAAGTTTTGTATTTTTTCTTTTAAGGAGAGGGTAACAGTATTTTTCTCGGGGTGATATTTTACTGTTACCCACAAACACATGTGTTATTTATATAATTATGTCCGATGCAAAAGGATTTAAACCATTACGAGTGTGTCAGCCCTGTCTATATATAAATAAGCAAAGATAGATTGCAAACATATATTTAAGAAATAACATCGGCCTGAGAGGTGTATATCGGCTATTTAACACCGGTTTGGAGTTTTGATGAGTAGGAATTGTCGCATCAAAACGACAAAACCGTTGTTAAATAGCCGATATACACCTCTCAGGCCGATGTTATTTCGATTCTAACACGATAAAATAAGGAAAATCACTAATGTTATTTTTCAAGCGGAAATAACTTCCGGTGCCGATTTTCGTATAACGCTGTTCGATTTTCGCACCCTACTGTTGCGAAGATATAGAAATTATTAAACAAAAGAAATAATAAGAAAAAAAACGTTATTTTGTCAAGTTTTCAACAATCAAAACTTACGTCGTATTGTGTTTACATCAGTGCCCAATTTAAGAAATAATATATCCCAAACAGTAATTTTATTGCTCAATAACATCACTGTTTGGAGTTCGGGTGCGGGGAATTATATCACGAGGGCGTAGCCCGAGTGATATAATGATGCGCATCCGAACGACAAACAGTGATGTTATCAAGCAATAAAATCACCTATTTGGATATATTATTTCGATTCTAACACGACATTAACAAATAAATGCTGCCGTACATTATAATTAGCTAAACTGCGCCTGATTTGTTTCCGTACTTATTGTCAGCGCGTCACATTTTTAGTGATTACGTCACGTGTATAATGATTACGTCACATGTCTAAATATAGAACGTCAAACAGTGATTTTATAGCATAATAACACACACTTTCGGTTCCTCTATGTTCAATAGGGAAAAATGCGGGTCGTGTTAGAATTATCATTCTTGTATGTATGAAATAACGTCAGCTTGTTTATGAATGAGTTGTTTACTTAGGATGACGTCATTACGCTGCTTACGGATTGGCGCCGTTTTGTCAAAATATTTATTAACTGATACGGATCTTATATGTGGCGTTAGTGTATGTGAGATATTATTTCGGTATTGTATGAAAAGAAAACATTATACGAACTGAAAATATAAATAAAAATGCTTTTTATTGTTGCTTTAAAATGCTTTGTAAACTATACAATCGAGTGTGAAAACATAACAGCGCATATACAAGTAATCCCTAACCGGTGTTGGCAGTTTAACACCAGTTTTTTTGCTTCTTTGTCTATAGTGACAAAATCACGTGAGTGTTAGAATATATATTATATTCTGACTTATCAGGTTAAAAATTATTTCTATCTTGATATCACGATGATTTGTTTCAGTAACTGCACTTAATGACCGTTAACTTTTTGTCAAAGTGTGGGGTACTGAACATTGAATTGTTCTAATGTAAACACTAGGGGCGTGAGAGATATTACATTTTCCAATATCCCTAATTAACCGATTAAATCTAGACAAATTCGCACTTTTCACTTGTTTATCTTTTATTCACTAATTGAATAATTCTTGAAGAAATAATTGCGCATAATTGTTGATGCCATTGTTTATTTCCGTATTTGTTTTTTTAATGAAAATTAAAAATGAAATATAGAGGATATTGGATGAGTGAAAGTTCAATACTGAAATTATTGCACGAGTTGAATAAAATTATATTATACGAGCCTCTGGCTAGCATAATATTATTTTATTCAACGAGTGCAATAAATTTAGTAATGAATTTACACGAATTTAATATTCTATTTATCACATACCCAAAATTAAGACCGTTTAAAGTGAAAAAAAGGTTATTTTTCATTGACGCGCCAAAAGTATAACGCTAACATTTAGCGCGTCTTTACACTTTGTTTGTATAACGCTAATGACGTCAAGTCAAAATATATGCACGGCCGTGCAATACCATATTTACGGAGTCGCAAAATCGGCACGGGTGTGTGATAAATAGATGATATTGAATGAGCGTAAGTTCAATACTGAATTTATTGCACGAGTTGAATAAAATTATATTATGCGAGCCTCTGGCGAGCATAATATTATTTCATTCAACGAGTGCAATAAATTCAGTAATGAACTTACACGAATTTAATATTCTATTTATCACATATCCAAAATATAGACCGTTTAAAGTGAAATTAGAGTCATTTTTCATTGACGCGCCTATAGTATAACGCTAACATACACTATGTTCGTAACTATATAACGCTAATGACGTCACGTCAAAATATATGCACGGCCGTGCAATACCATATTTACGGAGTCGCAAAATCGGCACGGGTGTGAGATAAAAATACTTAATTTATTTTGCTAAAGTGAAGCTTCAAAACCCATCACAGACATGTCAGTCACAGAAATAAATGTTATCGTGTGAATACATCAAACAATGTTATATAAAACGGAAATATGTCTATCCAAACGATTAAGAAGGTTAAAGATAATTATTGAAATATCCTGTCATAGACAGCTGTGTTACACATATGTTTTTATCGTGTGTTTTTTTCAAATACAACGGAAAATTCCCCCTCCGAATTTGATTTTAATTTTATTCTTTTTTTATTTCTTTATATTTCTTTCATTATTTCTTTCATTATTTTTTCATTATTTATTTATTTATTTTTGTTAAATGTATTTCAGATCTAATCCGTAAACATTACGACATTGAAGATTTATATTACCATTTATACGATTTAATTGAAAAATACTTTTCTTTTTTAATATTTTATTTCAGACATTGAAACAATATAATGCATATTGTTCTTTAATAACTAAATACAATCATTTAAAAAAAATCATTAACCTTATCTGTTTTGATCAATTATTAGTTAGATCGCGTTATAAGACACTGGCGAGAATTATTTATTTCGGAGCATGAAGTTTATAATATTTCGTTAATTGCGTATCCGTCTATTTCTCAATATTTCTCTTGATATGTTTTGATTTTGCGCTGTACTCTCTACGCTGATCTAAAAATCTCCATCAGTAACAACCTGCTACGTTGCCATCATCTTTTATTTGTTATCGTCTGTTTTGTTATTATTGGATTTAATCGTTACTGAAGTGTATTTTACGCAATATGATTATAATGATGAATGAACGCTGTTTTACTGATCTCTGGAATTATCTGAAATCACTTTTTCATTTTTCAAACAACAATTCGGATGTGAAAATGCATTTGGTACATTTGAAATAACCTCGTCGTCAGGTCGGGTTTAGCCATGTCAAACGGCGGTATTCTATATATAGAACTTTTATAGCAGCAAAAATGATGATTTGCCATAATTACTCAATTACGAGCCAGATCGGCCATTAATCATAGGACAGATAAACGGCTATTACTGATTTTTTCCCCCTGTAAAGCCATGCAAACAATATCTGCAACACGCAATGGCGTTCCGCCACCCCCGCAAACAGCTCGGCTGATATCGGCTACCAATAAAATTGATCGGCGTAAGTGAACGGAAATTTCATGATCCATTCAATTTCAAATGACTTGTGCGACTCGGCGACCATGCAACCACTTCTTAGTAAATGTAAATTAAAAGAATTATGAATTTTAGTGTCAGGTATTCACCGAATTACATTTATTTGTGCTGGTTATTAAACAATGGAACTACGTGACCATATTTTGATAGTTGTATGTATTCTTGTACCAACAATTTACTGCGGAAAACTTAAAGGTAGAACACTTTTTACTTTGTACTTAAAATATTTTTTAATAATTTCCTGTAAAGATTTGTAATTATATTGTATTTATTTATCAACAACTGCAATTTTTAAATGTTAGTTTAATATTGAGCTCAAATATAAAGATAGATTAGCCATCTTAAAATATGTTTCATTTAGAACGTCGTTTTTAAAATGCAAAAATAATTGTGAATATAATTGTTACCGTTATGCTTAGTTCTTTTTTGACGTTTCATTAAATTATTTTAAAGAAGCTTTTTAAAATGTTATTTTCTTCATACCTTTCCATAAAATTATATTTTTATATCTTCTTTCCATCTGACACGTTTTTTTATTTAAATTAAGGCAAACGGAATATCAGAACAGCTGTCAAATGCCTTATGTAACTCTTATTACGGAATGTAAACATTAAAAACAATTCCTAAACTGTTTAGTCTTACTACTTTATAATAGATAGTTTATTTCTATAAGACGTGTACAAAATGCACATGGTTACAAAATACAAACATTCAGATAAAATTATGCTTAAACATTCATTTTGTTTGACATTTAAACATTTCCCCAACTTAATATCCAGGTTTGCTTTTCTTATCTCATTTGTGTGTTGCCCATCCTATCGTCTAGGACAAGAACAATTTGTTATCAGATAACAAACCATGCATTAATCCGGAATAACTGAATTACCGATCTAACACTTAGTTTTTATGTATAAAGCATATTTTCTGTAGTACTTTAATATGGTTTATAAATCAATGCCGTATCGTTTATAGAGTTAATTAGCAAATAATGATAGATATAAATTCACCTCTATGAGCACAAAGAAATTGTTTGATAAATAGATATAGTTTTGTTAAACAAAAACCAAAGCATAGAGAACTTTCTAACGTTGTTACCATAACATAAAAAATTGGACCGATGCAGAATTATTGCCATCGTTATGAGCTGTTTTACGTCATTTTGATCAGATAAATGTTTGATAAAATGAACAGTTTCGAAGATGTTTTTTTTCCTGAAACATATATAAACTGTTATTTATCTAGGTTTTACAAACATGGTACATATATTGTTCAGGACAATATTGTGCAATGTGCAAAACAAGACAATCCACAGTTGTTATAATTTACGAATTAATTAATTGCTAGAAGCTTAAGCATTATGTGAGGGTTTTGTTTTCATACAGAAAAAGTTGCAGCATTCTGGATCATTATTATTAAACAATTAACGACATAAAATAATGTATGAGTGACTTATATGTGAAGTATAATTGAAATGTTCGATTCACAAAGCAAATGATAATTATCTCTAGTAAGTGACAATAATTCATATCGTATTTTTCTAACAGTAGAAACTACCATTATCACTTACTATATGTCTCATTAACATCTCATCTTCTTAAACATTTAGTATGAATATTGTACAAATGCTCACTCATAAGTATTTAGGGAATGTAATTTATTTTGAAAAACCAGTGTTCTTCTATTTTGTTCAAAAATTACTTAAATTGTGAAAGACAAAAAAGGCATTTAAAATCATTTTGTCGAAGTTATATAGATAAGTTGTAATATCAAATTTTGAAGTACATCTCTTTAAGGGAATAGCTGTAAATATATTTTTTCTAAAACTCACGTAAAACAATATTTTTAATATAATTAATAAATGTATTCATTTTCAATAAAACGATTAGTTTTTTAGGATTTAAGCATGACTTTTGCTTCGTTCATGAATGTTCAAAATTGTTCCAACTTGTTACAATCAGTCGTATATCTTAAGAATGATTATAAAATAGTTCTCTATATCATGTAAACGTTTTTCAATCGTATTTCAGAAAGTGGATATAAATAATATGCAAATAATGCATAGTTCTCAAATCATTTAAACAAAGAAAAGAAGCAGTTTTATATGAAATTACACTTTATTTTTTTAATTAGTCATTATAATTTGCTAAGGTGTCATAAAAAGTCTCTTACATTCCTGGGAATATATATATATAAATAAGGCTTAGTTATCAGTGGCTAAACAATGTTTGAATTTTATATCGGGTAACAATCTTTATGACATACTTTCTATGTATCAATAATGTCATTACAGTTTTGAAATGCAACTTTTATCCATTAATTCAAACATTTAAAAAAATATTTCTCGTTTTTTTTTCAAGAGATATTATTTCTTTTTTTCCATTAAAAAGACCATAAGGTGTATTACCAAATTATGTAAATAAAGTCTGATCTTTAGCATTTATCTTATTTATAAATTAATTGTTGATTACTTAAAAGTCTAACAAAAGCTCACTGAGAGCAATTCTATCCTGCATGGTAAGTTTATACCACACATTTTGTTTTGTCTTATAAAATCGAAAATTAGCTGCTTTGATTAAGATTTTTGCACAAATCTTCAATTGAAATTAGATCTTTTTTGTCCCTTTTCTCGAAAAATTAACTAATACAACTCAAGTTTGTTATCTGAGTCTTTGTAATCAACAAACGCGTGCGCACGAACTTTTTAAAATATAAAAATCTTTTTTTACAAGCTTTTTACCAAATATAACAAAACAACGAGAATAACCTTTACTAAAGTCATGTCAAAATAAAAATGATAATAATAATGAAATATAGAAAAATACAAATCAAATAAGATAAATGAATAAAAAATTGAAGGTTATCTTATCATAAGTAAAAAAATGTGTCCATAATACTTTGAGCGAGATATTTGATGCACATGTGGAATGTACGGTTTTATTAAGTACATATGTAATATCAAGTGTGTCATTTAAGAAAGTTTACATGAAGATTAGTGAATCGAGCTATTGCACTGTTTACGTATTTTCCCGTTTGTGAGATTTCTTGGTATCTTCTTTAAATCTGACACATACATCAGTCATAGACTACATATTACACCCCTCAGTTTTAGAGCCTCTTATATAACATATATCAAACTGTTTATCTGTTGAAACATGGTGTAAACATTCAAAGAAAATATCAAAATATGTTAAAGTGCAACGGTTACTCCCGTCTGTAAAGAATGTTTTTTAATGGGCTTGGCCTGTTTATTGAAGCTGATTGATACCTCACCATATTGAATGGGTCGAGTTCACACTGTAATACGGTAAACTGTGAACTAAATTCATTACATGTGTATCACTTTTTTCAAAAGAATATTTCATTAAATATTATGAAATCATTATTGTTATTTCTACAATATTGAAAAATATTTATATTTATCAATATGTTAAAAACTCCAGTTGTGAAGCTAACCATTTAGGAACATAAAAGTGACTGTTATAGAAGGTTAACAAAATAATATAATTTAATATTCATCAGTTTATATCTTTTTTATTAATGTGAATTTAAAAATTATTTATTTTCACCTTAAATGAAATCAATTAAATCTATCTACATATTCAAAAATGTAACAATACATATTTATTAATGTCCAACAAGTGTAGATGCTAATTACGCTCTTTTGACAAGTGCAAAAAACATTTTGTAATTAAAATTTCTAGAGGAGATTTTGCGTACACTAACAAGAGATGTAAACATTAATGCGAAATATCAACACTTGAAGGTGTTCCCAGTAATAAATTGCAGCTTGATGATATTAATTTGAAATGTATCAGAGGATCAGCCGAATCCTAAAATAAACATAACACATTGGAGTACTTCCCTAATCTGTCATAAACAGATTTGTTCCCGCTCTTGATATTCTATTTTTGTATCTCGTGTTTCTTTAACCTTTTCGAATGCTTATCGTGATCAAACAAGAAAGAAATAGCCTAGATCTACATAATAATATTCCAAGTTGAGACAGACTTTCTGGTCGATGTCTTTAAGCGTAGCCAGCAGTTGTATTTTGTGACCATAAGTTAATATTTCTTTGTAAATTTCTATTGTGGAAAACTGACAATTTTTTTTAATACCAAATTTATAATACTTCTTTGTAAACTCAATTGTGCTTTTTATATATTAACGAGTATCGATATCTGCATGAAATCTATACATAAACTAGAATGAAACCATGATAAAAATATAAAACATTTATAAAAAAAACAACAAAACACAGTTAAGTGGAATTTGATGAAAATTATTTTTTTTATAATTGCAATTAAATGTTTGTTCTTGTTTATAATCAGTGTAAGACCTGCACGATACCAACACAAAATTAAAATTTTTATTGTGAGAGAATTATTTAAACAACATATACCAATAAAAAAAAAACGAAAAAAAATCACGAAAACATCAACAACGAGCTAAATATACACAAGAGGCTGTTTAAAAAGTTGTCGTGCATAAAAGAATAAAACAAAGAATTGTCAATGATTAAAATTGATGTGAATGACGTTTAGAATATTTCTGTTCATATCTAATAGTTTATGTGACAAAGCATGTTTCCAGGAAACAAGACATGTTTTTCAGTCATTAATTTCAAAGCGACAAGCGACGTCTAGGATAGGATATACATACTAAAGCATAATACATCTCCCAACGTATCTACAATCGTAAACATTCACGAATTCTAATCATCAATCAAGTCCTTCTATAAAAAGAAAAATAGATGGTTCAGTATCTCATCTAGATAAGATGTACTTTCTGTTAAAATATTGTTGGCATTTATATCACTTCTTTTCTAGATGAGATAAATTACCGTTATAGCAACACTATCTGCTTAAATGATTCTGATATGATACTAACTGGAAAAAAAATCAACGTTATAATTAAGGTCAAAGAATAGAAAACCACGTGACAAAATGAATGACAAATATTTTTTACGGCTGACATACAACGATACACAAGTTCTTTTAAGTGAGCTATCTTTGCAAATGAAAAGTTATACTGAAACACGTGAAAGATCTGAAATTAGATAGGTTGGATTAATATTTTCAGTAAAATCAGATTTTTTTACAGAAATATATATAAATAACTGACATAAAATCCCGAAATATGATCAAATTTCAAAATGTTTTATATATTATTATTATGACAGTTTTTAAAATAAAAGAAATGATATATTCACACATGCATATAACTATATACAACAAATGACAAAATAGTTCACATGCTAATAGGAAAAAATGTAAAATATAAGTTGCGTACTGATCGTATGCCTGATAAAATGTCACACCAATAAATCAATGTTATCAAAAGAAATGTATTATCGGCATTCTACTTCATTGAGAAAACCCGGTTCATTCATGTCTCTATCTAGAAAATCGTCTCATATAAATGGAAAACAACTACTTTACTGAAGATAAAGTCTCATTTTATCATTTTGTTCTCATGCAACGAAAACTATTATCTTCCTTTTTTCATTCATGTTTTGAGCGTGCCGCTAAAATGTCTTATAAGCATTACATAGGATTTATATTCTGCTCAATTTATGTTTTATTGGGCTATAAGAGTCCAATAAAATCTAAGCCACATAACGGAAGTAATTTCAAGGAAATTCAAGGTTCTAATTTTAGGTTTTTGATTCTTTTATTGCAGACTTTTATAATCTAATACCATTTTACATCTTTCTTAAACCAAACATGTACTTTATTATACATCAAGCGATACAAAAATAGCAAAATACAGCTTGATAAAGATTGCTTGTTAAATGGTTTCCTTTAATTTGATTTGTAAATTATTAGTTATAGATAAGCTCCGTTCTTGCTCTGAGGTAGTGTCTTCCGTTTTGATTGTGACCCTGATGGGTGCGTTATCAATGGTCTTATGTGGCTTGGTACTGTTGGAGGTTGCGTCTAGTGAATGTCGCTCTGCCTTGTTGATGTAGACGATATTATCTTAATATTTTGCAAAAGAAATGTAAAGCTTATTGTTTTGACTCTCGAGGCATACCATTTAGACTCTTGATTTTTAAAGAATTGCCGTTCACTTTTATATCAAAGCATATAACATCATTGCCACGTATTCTATTATTTTATTAGTTTTTTTTAGTTTTTTAAAGATTTTATAAGAAGTTATATGGCCCTTTATAATTTTTTTTCAATTTTCATAAGCGATATTCTTGGTTTTATTTTTTAGATTTTCTCAAAGTAAACTACTTTGATGATCAATTTTTAGAATCACCTTTTCAAACATATTGGCAGGAAAGAAACACGATGTTAGAGCAAACACAAAATCAAACATCTACAAATAAAGACTTTAAAATACTCAATAAGGTATGTATGCACATTTTTATTTTCTCAATTAAAGACACTTAATGCGTGTTTTATGGGCAAGAGTTTTCTTCAAAATTTTGTTTTTTCTATGGTTGTGTATCCACTTGTGGCTTAACGGTTGAGGCAACATAATAGATGCAATCGTTTATCCCTGCTTGGTCGTAAGAGGCGACTAAATGTATTTGAATTACTGGAGTCTATGCATCTCTTTATAATGGCTGATTTGGAACGCTTCGGTTCGTTGTGTTGTCGCTAGCGACATCACGACAAAGCGCCAAACGGCGCGTTGTCGGACTTTCGTCTTGTCGTCCTGTCGCTAACGATGCAAGCCAAACGGCTCGTTGTCGTGCGGCGTGTTGTCGCGATGTCACATTATCGCTCGGCTGAAATCAAAGGATAAGCGACATCGCGACAACGCTCCGTTTGGCGTTCTTCGCTAGCGACAGGACGACAAAACGACAGTGCCACAACGCGCCGTTTGGCGCGTTTCGCTAGCAATAAGACGGAAAGGCGATATCAATAGGTTGGCTTGTCGCTATCGACAACGCAACGAGCAATGTGTACCAAATCAGCCACAATATTTCTTGGCTCCAGCAGGTCAGATTGTTTCGACCCCTGATGTTGCTTTAGGTTTGTAACACCCGATGTTTCCTGTTTCGGCGCAATATGATCTAAATTGTGTTCGTGAGTCTCAAAAAATCAAACCAATTAAAAGTCATGAACATGAAAATGATCCCTAAGGATTCGTAGACAACACCAAAAAGGGGAACACGTTTTTTTTTATAGTTTAAATGAATGAAAGAACGTCTATCACGCTCCTTAACATCGGTTTATATGTCTGTTATATAATATAATTTATTTTTATTATATTTACATTTTATTAACATTTTATGAAAATATTTTGTGTGAATGATTTACCAATAATGTTTGAACAGAGCAATAATCTTTGTTTAATATATGCAATCTAAATATAAGTAAGTATAAAATATTTTCATTTCAGACAGACAGGCCAGTAAACAGGAGTTCTATACTAGCTTTGCTTCAATTTGCTGTGATACAAAGACACATACAACGTGATATCTTTTCTACCTCGCCTTATTCACCTTCATGTAAGTATTAACTAGACCAAGATGTAACTTATGTTTATTTCATTCATTTTTCAAAATCTTTCAAAGTTGTAAACGCATGTGTAATGAACATCATGTTTTCTATGTTGTTTATGTTACATTAGACTCTTTTTATTATTTTGGCTTGTATAAGAAGGGCGTATCAACACATTCTCTTATTCAACTCGTTTCATTCAAATACACATGAACATACCCATACTTTCAGTAAGGACATTCTTGACTTCACTTAAACTTATATTTGTTTCATGATCACCTTTGTATTCATAAAAAATAATAAATAATATTTTTTTTTTAAATAATAAAAGCACATTAATTTGCGTATGTTAAAACGCACCTAAACTAATAATTGAATATTTAAATATCATAGCAAAATTTCGTTGACTTCTTATCAATTTGACTTTGTTAAAAAATGTAATCTTTTCTTTTTTTATTTAATAGATATAACAGACTCGTCTATAGATGTTGCAAAGAGACACTATATGAAACACACTGATACAACTATTGAACTACTGCTGGTCATTGACAACTCAACATTCCAGAAATTTTTAAGAGAGAGCTTGTTCGACGTTGCTGATGCAAAGAGAAGAATCAAGCAATATTTTAGCATACTTATTGCAATAGTGAGTATAGAGTATACATATTTCATTGATATTTCCATGGATATTTCCGTTGTTGTTTTGTCAGGTTCGATATAATGTTATAAGCCCTTTGCAACCCTATATCAACAAAAGAAAAATCTTTGTGATATATGTGTGTGTTAGAAATGTAATATGTTTGGACTGAATGTATTTGTATAAAAATAAAATCATGTTTTTTCCAAATATTGAACGAAATAGTGCTTGATTGAATGTTGAAAATAAATCATGAAATGTTTCATTTATAAATATTGTATTATCTAAATGCCTCTTTACAACATAATTAATAATTGGTCATATTAATGTGTAACAGTTAAGGCTCCCACGTTTACAATTTTTTGTGAACGTTTACACGATTGCTAAGAACCGAAACGATACCGTTTAAACGGTGGTACCTCTTTGTACTATACACACCATGTATTTGAGTCGCCAAATGATGTCTTTCTTTCTATTTTTTATACATGTACAAATAAAGAATGTCCAGGGCTCATCACGATTGAGTCAGCACACATTTTTTGCTTTGTAACCCCACTTTTTACCTAATCTATATTATGTCACAAGCAATTTTGCACCGTAATGCTGTGTGGAGGGTTGTAAACACCTATTTTCAGTTTGTTTACTTTGATAAACCACTAAAATTGATAAAATCCATTATTACAGGCAATGATTAAGAAATTTTGTAAGACAATATGGTCATTTCGATTAAACGGTAAACAAAATCGTAAACGTTTATGAATGAAAATCGAAACGAATCCGTTTAAACGTGTAATCGTGGGGGCCTTAGTAACAGTATACATGTAGATAAACGTTGGTGTACGTGTAGATTTTATTATTTACTTATCATAGTTTAATAACCTGGTAAAAATAATCAGGAAAGAATCGTAAAATATTAACAATACATCATTGTTACACAAAAAATAATGTATTGAATTGATGTTTTCATGTCTAAACATGTTGTTTCTCTAGAATAGGAAATTAAAATTATAAAAATGCTAATTAATATTCTTAATCTAAGATGCTTAATGACATCAGTTGAATTCGTCTTATTTTTCTTGAATTATTGACTCGTATTAATGTTCAAATTAATAACGTTAACATTTTTTAGCAAATGTCATAATATATGAGATACTTTTAAGGTGGCAAATTCAATTAGAAAAAGTATTAAAAATAAATATATTAAGGGAGGCAATTATCAGCATAGAAATGAATAATTGAAGCCAACCGTTAAAAATGATAACAGGTTACCAATAACATTTTAATAAAATAGGCATGTAAGTCAATCACAAGGTTGAGAATAAATCTAATATTGGACAATCGTTAAGTTTATATTATTTTTTTATTTTTAAGATAAATCGTATAAGACAGAACCTAATCTGCACTTTCTTCTATCGTATTAATCATATTTGCAACAGTATGTTCAAGTTTCACTCCTATCGTACCAGACATAAACTGCTTTTAAATAAATTAATAAATCTGATGAAATTATAATATATGTATCATGAAAAAGACAAAACGGTTGCTTTGCAGACTTTAAAACCGAGCCTGCAACAGTTTCAATTTTGTCCTTTTGTGCCTTCCTTGGGGATTCTTTATTTCTCTCTATTTTAAGGTCTCTTAAAGAAACACAGTCTTAGTAAACTTTAAAATGTATGAGTAGTATACTTGTTTTTGGTCTGTTGAATTAGATTTTACGGCAAATCGACTGATTTAAAAAGTCTTTACAGAAATACGTTATAGCTATATGACAATGAAAACAACAACAACAAAAAACAACATTGTTTTATATTGTAAGATATTTAGTTAGGTTTCTGTTTACCTAGCCATTCGATGAAATACATCGTCAAAACAAGCACTTCTTCCTTTCGATAAAAAACTAGATTTTATTTAAACTGTTTGAAACGGTATTATGCTGATGTATACCTGTCTTATACGTACTGAATAGTATGGTGGCTGATTTCGTACGCTTTTATGCGTCGCGTTGGCGCTAGCAACAACACGACAAAGCGCCAAACAGCGCCTTGTTGCGCTGTCGTCTTGTCGTCCTGTCTCTATCGCGGCACGTAAAACGGCGCGTTGTCGCCCTGTCGCTTGAACCGAGCGACAATGTGACATTGCGACAACACGCCGCATGACAACGCGCCGTTTTGCGTGCCGCGCTAGAGACAGGACGACAAGACGACAACGCGCCGTTTGGCGCTTTTTCGTGTTGTCGCTAGCGACAGGACGACAAGACGAAAGTCCGCTTGGCGCTTTTTCGTGTTGTCGCTAGCGCCAACTAGACGCAAAAAAGCGTACCAAATCAGCCACCATAGAATGGTCCTGAAACGTAGAGATTATCAAAAAATGTTTAACAAAATATATGCATATTTATATTATATGTCAAAATGTGGAAAAAAAAGATATAGACTATAATAAATGTAATAATTACAAATTGATGTGTTAATTTCCAGGTAAACCAGAGATTCGAGACGATAAGTGACAAAACTTTCTCGATACATGTACAAATATGTGATATTTATATTGCTGAGGTAAGACAGACACTTAAATTCGTATTGAGCTTTTTAAACCCATTTGAACCTCATTAATATCATTGCATAATTTGAAAATGTGTTTTATACATAATAATCAAAATTCATTAAAGATATTTGTGATTGGTATGAATTGTAAAATATAATTTAAAGTTAGAACAGATCCTGGAAAAGCTGGTAAGATCGCTGACTTCTGATTTGATATTTACTCATCTAACCTCGTTCTTTTGTAAGTTCGTTTCATAATCAAGGTATAGGCACATGTCGGCAGCGGCGCAAATGCATTAGTTGTCGATAAAAACTCTGTGACTTTAAATCTAGCATAGAAATAATTATTAGAACAAAAACGTTAATGACATAAGCAAAGAAAAAAAGAAGTTTAAAGAGCTTATTCCCAATATTCATTATAAGATAATACAAAATATACTAAGATATAAGGCTATAAGATTTTGTAAGCAAAGCTAATTAATAATGAATTAAAATATTTATTTTATAAAAACATGAAATAGAGCCAAGTATTTTATAATTCTTCAATGCGTCAGCACTTATACATATTTTTTTACAATGTCGCAAAGTCGGCACTTACTTACTAAACGTTTTCTTTTACCTAAGTGATACTTGCACTTGATATTTATATTTAGTTTAGTAACTATATGAAATAGTCTACACGCTTTTTATTGTGGAAAAAAATGCAATGATTTTATCTATATGGTATTATAAACAACGTATTGAAGTATCTGTTTATTACTACAGTCTTTAAATTGTTAATTTTCAGACAAAACGTGATGTAGTTTGGTTAGAATATATAGCAAGATGGTCATCTTACAATGGTAATAGCATTGTTAGTGCAAGCCGAGCTTTAAAACGGTTCCAGAAATGGCTTAGTAGAAAAACATTTCTACCCAAGTACGATCATGCAATTTTATTTACAAGGTAAAATACAGATTTTAATAATTATCATGTTGGTATTATGTCAAAGTTGATAAATTTATATTTGTTCGATTCCATCAACAAGTTAAGTAAACAATAAATGCTAATGACAACATCTATATTTGGATAATGACATTTTTATTTATAAACAACAGTAGCATGACGTTCATGCAAATTATCATAATTTCTTGGGAATTAATTAAAGATCTTGATAAACAGCAAAGACATATACCAGAGTATCACATTTTCTTTTAATGAAATGGAACAGATAATACAATACTATAATATTCTGTCTTCATATAATACAGAACATTGTATCACTATTTTTGTCAGAAAAATATCTTAACTAGCAATCATGTACACAGTAAAACTGCTTACATATGATGCTTTAATCATAGAGTATTTTCGTTTTGAACTATGCCTTTATTACATGTAATTCAAATACGAATCGCAAACGTAAAAAGCCGTCCTACATCGCAGAATGTAGTAGCAACTATTTCGAGCCATTCAAGGAGTTAGAACTTACTTACTAAAAAGAAATGAATATGACCTGTAAGTGAATTATGATCATTCAAGCCAGGCCAAATAAATGAATGAGGATTGGTGCTTCTCTCATGTTATGTATAATTGCTTCAATTGTTCCATCATTATCATTAGAAACATGCACTGCAACCTGTTCATGCTCGTCTAAATAAAGATGTTCTTTTGAATAAAGTTTTTCCACTTTTTATTTCAGCTATATACTAAAAAGAAGGCTAAAAAAGGTTGATGGTGAGTTAAATGTTTGTTTCTTTTAGATATTAAAACATCCTATTTGCTACAAATATCAGCATTGCTTTTTTGACATTTACTGCTAAATAATAAAGTAACTGATTTGTTTTTTCTCATCCTTAGATAAAAACAATTGATTTTAAAAGAATATAAACTTACACGTCAACACAATTAATGTGTACGTTTTCGTTTGTATTGTATGTATAAGCAAAAAAAAAGTATCTTTTTTATGCTCAAAGGTCTTGCCTATGTTGGAACAATGTGTAATACCTCAGAAGGTAAATCAGCGTCCATAGTACAAGATGTTGGCGATTTTAAGTCTGCAGGCGTGATAACTCATGAACTTGGTCACAGGTATGTCATGTTCTAAAGCACAAACTTATGTATAAGATATGATATTATATAAATGCGTATCAGAATTAAAAGACATAATACCATACGCCATTTCAATGCCGTATATCAGTATCGGTATATAATCTGATAATCAAATTAGACATGATTAATCATTTGATATTAAAGATTGATATCAAAACAGATATATTTAATGATCTTAACAAACATATTTCAATGTTTTAAATGATCATAATAAATAATATTTTTGAATTTTACTAGAAAGCAATTATTTTTAAAACAAATATTTTTCGTTTCCTGTTGTCACACTCTCACACCTCTTATATAGATATTCAGCTTTTTATAAAAAAAAATACTTCATAACCTCCAGCTATTATTGTTGAAATAGTGTTTATAAATATGAAAATTAAAATCAACAAGGAAGGGCGGCATTCACTTTTCTTTTGGCTTTCGTGATTTTTCAGTCAAATATCATAAATACTGAGAATTTAATATTGCTAAAACCGATGTTTGAAATACATTGTTTGTTACAGGTTTGAAATCATGTGTCTTTCATTTGAACTTATTTAGTTATTTTGTCGTCGCCTTTGCAGTAGAGGGCTTTTCATGCTACATAATTGTTTTTAATTTTTGCTTCATAACATTTTGAATATTTTTTTCAGCTTAGGTGCTACTCATGATGGTGAAGGTATCAACCATAAATGTCCAGCTGACAAAAATTATATAATGGCTCCACAAAATTCCCATGAGCAAGATGTTTCCAGAAATGTGTTCTATTTTTCACCTTGTTCAATGCGACAGCTGAAAGAATTTATAATGCAAGATATATTTCTTGTTGTGACATTAGTTTTGTATTTGTCTTGTAAAAATGTAAATCAAATCCATATCCTACAAATGAAATAATCTGATATGGGTGTTTTTGAAACCTTCTTGTACATATTTCAATAAATATAACATTTATTTAATAGACATAGTGTTTTAATAACAGAAGTAAATGATTTTTAAGGATAATTGAATCTTTTATAATTTTTGACATGTTATTTTTAAATATGTTTACTCTTTATATTTTGTTATATGTAATTAAATATAAAATGTGAAATAAATAGTTTACTCTTTATAATGTTTGACATGTAATTTAGTATGAGTACAAACAATATCTTATTTCGAATTCTATTTGTAAACAGGTCTTCTAGGTCTCAATGTTTGTTGAATGTACCAATGGGAACAATAACACATGACTTAGTCAAGACTCCGCCTGGAAAAATATTTGATAAAAACGAACAATGCGCAATGGCTTTTGGCTCATCTTCAATGTTTTGTGAAGTAAGTATTACCTTAAATATTATTTGAATCATCGTGTAAAGGACGGTTTGAGTTTTATTTTAAACATCATTTTATTTTAATCTAACATATGCACGCTATAAAGCATAATTACAATCAAATAGGAAAAAAGATTAAGTGAAAAGCTACACACTTTTTTTAGAAACTCTCCCCTTGGAATGAAACAATTATCATATATGATAACATACATTTATATTTTTAAAAACTGTATCCATGTTGTTCTAAGATGTCATTATTTATCGAAGTAAAAAATTGATCAAAAGGACAACTTAAACATAAGAATATTTATTGTACCTTGAGGGTAACATTATTATAGAAAAGGGAAGATTAAGAGGGTTGTGTTTTGTACTGACATCATGGAATCTTCATATTTGAAATAGATTTCTTAATAAACAAAAAAACTAAATCCAGGAGACCCTGTGTTGAAATAGTCATTACATTATAAGAACACGAGTCCTGGTGCTTAATAAATTGTTGTTTTTTTATACCATCTTTGTTAGAAGTTAGGAATAAAGTATAGATACAATTACAGTCCTTATGTTTCAACAAAAGGCTCAGAGAAAAGTTGCATATATGACCATTGATAAGTAAATAGATATTCAAACTAATTAATATGTTTCTCAGTTAAAAGGTGTTATTACGCGTTATTATTTGTTATGATTGGAATATAGCTTAAAATAATGTAGAGAGGGAAAATCCTGCATTACCACGGTTAATTAAAATTTCCGAATAAGCTGCACCTAAAAGGACTTTCCTATTGTGTTTCCTTATGAGAGAAATTTAATTAAGACAAAATGTGCAGCTATTTTTATCTAAGATGATATTTACACTGGATTTTATTCTTTCTCAAAATAACATAATCAACTAATAAATGCCATTCAATACGTGTTTAAAATCACGTTTAATTACATTTTAAAAGCGTCAAAAACGGTATTTGTGGGGCATTTGAGGATGAAGCTTCAGCTGTCAATCATTTAATTTTATTTAGATTGAATCTGCTCGTTCAGTGATATGTTCTCGCCTCTGGTGTACAAGCGACATGGAAAATAAGTGTCACAGTAATAACCGGTTGATAGCTCTTCCCGGAACACCATGTGGGCAACGGAAAGTACGTCATATATATAGCTTTTTGCATGTCATAAAAACCTTACACAGTTATACACAATTTGATATTTCAATTGTACATTCTTCTCGAAGCCTTTTTTTAGAAAGTTGAATGTTAATCAAAATGGGTAATGTTTTTTTTTCTATCGATTTAGTTTTGATTAATAAACTAATCTTAGCAGCAAAGACACAAGTTGATAAATCCGAAAATCATATCTGCTTTTTGTAACTTTACTTAGTAAATGACATACAGACATAAATATGTGATTTTCTTTGTTTTTTCAACGTTTAGTTTTGCCATCTTGGAGAGTGTGTATCCCCATTCCGACAGTCACTTGCATACAAAATGTATAATAGAACACCTACACTGCGTGATGGTAAGTATTTTAATAAACTCTTGTTGATGTTTGTTTGTTGTAGTTGTTTTTTTTGTTGGTTTTTTTTAATCAAATAAATGACAAACCATAGGAACAATATCATAATGTTTAATGTGTCTTTAACTGTAAAGTAGTTTAATGTCGAGTAATTTTGGAAAAAAAATAAAATATCCTTTTCTTATTTACAGAGTCTTGTCCAGCTGGAGACTTATTTGCCATCTATTGCAGCGTGATTATAAAGGCGTCACCTCGTTTGTGTGAAGAAAGAAAAGGCATGAAAAAATCGTGCTGTAAATCTTGCAGGGATCGGCGAAATTTAGCTTACTCTCTGAGTTGATACAGAAATCACCTATAAGTGGATAACATTTAGCTTAACCTTTAAGCTGATTATATATAACAGAGGGAGTTGATTGGCAATTGACTCGGTGATGATTGATAAAGCACGGTTAAATGGTCATATATATCTGACCTTTAGAAAATACGTGATCTGCGTTTGACAGCTGTTGAATTATATCTGTAAAAATATCGATACCTTTGGCTAAACAACGTTTGACATTTAACTACAGCACAATCAACTGAGGTAGAAATTCAAAATAATTACATTAGGATAAGGCGTTTTTCGACGTCGTATTATCAAAACACTATAGGCATTGCCCTTAATTCAACATGTTATGATTGAAATTAATTTTTTTGCGCCAAAGCTATAAAAAGGTATAAAACGTTACCTTTTTAAACTTTTTACACTTAAAACTATACAATAGGAAATGTTAAACACACGGTGATTGGCATAGTGTCTTCTGTATTAATAATAACTTAAAAAATTACGAACAAGTGTCCATTTCTGCAATAAGTTTCAACATATATGGTGTGTTTATCTGTACAGGTAAATTGATTAGAAATGTAAATTTCAATTTGATAAGGAAACATATTATCAACATCAAATATTGAAATGACTTTTTTAAAAAACAGATAATGAATTCCACTTTTTGTAAAGAAAGATAAAAAAGTTTTAAAGAACAATATAATCTATCTTTCTATAATTGGTATTCTTTGTTTTATATGATACTGTTTTTATTATTCATAAAATAAAAACAACTTAAAATATGTCGTTTGTGACCTTCATATCGCAGTCCAAAAGCTTAAGTGTGACGTAAAAGTACCCAACACTTAACACGATTGCCTCCCCTTTCTATAAGTTCGCCATTTTCATCGGAAAAAAGATAATTCAATTTTAAATCTATCAAGACAAGTTTGCTTCTTTAAAAAGAAGCATGCGAGAGGTCTTTTTGCTGCTGTGGGAGATTTGTTTAATTCGAAAATATTTTTGCATAAAAGACACAATGAATGGTTATAAATTACAATTATTAAACAAAATAGAATTTATTATATACATTGAATACGGTATCATAATAAAAGTTTGTTTTACACTTCATTTTTAAAAAATGTTTTGAAAGAATATATGCCAGAGAAATGGATTTTTTCTTGTCTCTAAAGGGATACTTTTTCTACAAAGGGAATAATTTATGTTACGTCATCAAACTAAATTTAAAATAAATGATATACACATGTATATATATATTAAAAGTAGTATCAAAATAAAAGTTTCTTGTAAAATTCAATAAGCAAATTTTCGGTTAATGTTTTGGTAAGTATATTGAAACATTTCCTCTACATTTTCCAAAACGGGCATAAAGTATTTTAAGTCTCAAATTACATAAAAAAGATGTTTATATCATTTGGAATAAACAGTATATAAAGCTGCATGCCTCCAACCGTGCAATTTATATTTGAGGAAAATCTTGAGTAAACTTTGTGCCATTTGCGCAAAAAAATCTCCGTTGCGTTATTTAGTCGTACCGGTTTAAAAGTTTAAGGAGCAGCAAAATTTCGGTACACGGTTCACTCGGTCATATAATAGTGCATGGTGATATTGTACCTGTAATGTTCACTTTTACTTTTAATCGGAATATGGAATAGTAAAACGCTATTCAGAAAACAATACGGTAATTGATTTATACAATTTAAATGTTTAAAACGGAATGAAACATCCACGTAGCGCTAAGTGACGTAAATGATATTTTCCGATTTTTCTACGTACCGATTTGTTCACTTCGATGTTAATTTTTCGTTTAAGTTAAGTCGTATTTTAAAACGGAGCATGCGCAAAACAATTTTTGTAGACTGCTCCGAATGATTTTACGCTATAAATGAGATTCATTCACTACAATCAGATACGCAAAAATGGATGCCGCCAGCAATCAGTCTGAACACTGTGGAGAGGTCTGATGACATCTCCAATAAAAAGAGCAGGTATTTTAGTGAAGAAAATTCTCCAATGTGTTTATATGTATCACTCACAATAGTATGTACTGGTAATAGCTTCAGGCAGCAAACGCTTATAAGATAAAGTAAAAATCAGTATCAATAAACCTTTTGATATTATTTGGTAATCAAATTGTATTTCCTGCGGAGATGTTGCTCAAGCAGTATATAAATAGTGCTTGCGCAGTGAAAGTGTGCTGGCTGTGCTCTGGTAAATTCAATATAACTTACTGCTGTGATCCGTAGTGAAAACTACCCATACCAAGAGTCAGTCTTGTCTTGTCCGGTAAGCAGACATCTCAAATATCTGATACTAGGGACGTTTTACTTCTGTAAAAACCTTTCGAGAAATAAATATTAATATTGAGAGTTAGTCTGGCTGTGTCTTCGCACGTTTAAGAACGAAATGGTAATTAATCTTATTTTGAAAATATGTTTACGACATACATAGTCAATCTTTTTGTTGTTATTGAAATAGGTTGGATTGCAGTGACATTACATTATATAACTGGTACACAGAAATCTCTGATATATGTACTTAAAATGTTCTATTGTTTTAGTAAAACCTCTGGGGCAAATGTTTGAGATGTATCTTTTAAAGGGAGACGCAGGCAAAATTTTAATTTGTTCGTTTTGAATTTTTCATTCATTATTTTGTAAATGTCCTCAAAATGAATATACTAGGCAGTCACAGAAACAAATCTTTTCTCATTATAAAGTATTAAATGATGGTCTTTTAACCTGACCCAACTGGGTCACGTTAGAGCGTTAAGATTTCACAATAGTTGTCACAGCGAACCTTGGAAATGTTAAAAAACACATGTCAAATGAATGACTTAGACTTGTTTCAATCATGCAATATCTACAGTATCTGTATTTGTAACTGCCAGACAAACAAAACTTGTGTTAAAACTACTCGGTGATTCTGTCAGCTTCAAAATTTCGTTCAACATATATAAATATATTTACACTTAAACCCAATATATAAAATTTAATACAGAAATTCATGTGTATCCCTTTAAGAAAATATTTTTTTTATAAATTTTAATAGTTGTCCTTAAAGTGTAGATCGGAATAGTATCTATGTTTTCTTCTTCACAGAAAACTCAAATAATATTATCTTGTTTTGGAAACATATTGCTATTTCAGTAAAACCTCTTGGGCAAATGTTTGATAGGCAAAAGCTTATTTTAAAAGGATGTAGAAAACGTATCTTTAAAAAGTTATGTATGAGCTAATATCAAATTTCGCCCAAATTAGGGTTCTGATTTTATTCAAATATGAATACCTTATTTAGCTGCAACGTTTTATCTCATCTATTAAGCATATGAATTTAAAGCTAGTTTTACAAAGTGCAACATAAACTCGTCTATTTTACATCGTTTATGATTTTCAGAAGGTCAATATTGACCATTGTTTGTCTTTGCAGTAACGATAAAGTTTTTTACATTTTTAATAAAATGATAAGATCTAAACAACAACAGCAAAACAAACAACACAACTTTTTTTAAATTTCAGTTTAAGTCTTAAATGGTTTTTTTTAATAGATGTATATATTTTCTGTACAAAAGACCTTTTCGTCTTCAACCGTAAACAAAACAGGAAATTGAGTAATACAATGTCAGTATGTTTCGCACGCACGTAAGAATATCATTTTTTCTTGTTCTATTGTTATGAACAGAGTAAGTTTTATCAATTTGAATGCAAAAATAAACTTTTACCAGGTTGCTATATTGCAGAACTAGAAATCAATCTGTGTTACACCTTGACATGCTTGTTACTGCAAGGACTAATCAATGTTACTTAAACGACTTATTACTGTAAATTTACGTTTATTTTTTATCATTGAACTAACAATTAAATGTTAACAACATACAGAAATGAAAATAAGCTTTGAATTATTCTTAAATAGATCTTAAATTTGAATAACAAAAGTAAGGGAAGAACTCTTTTAAAGTTACAGGACGGACATATTTGTTACTGAAGTGACAAAAAATAAAGAAATGATAAGGTGTTATCATTTATTTACAAACAATAATCATTTGAATTTAATTCACAAATTACGATAATGTCAGGGATTTTAAGAGAGGCTAAAATAGGACTTGGAAAGTAAACAAACAGTCATGTTCTAAGTTTCAAGGGACTACTTTTAATGACTAATTTTAGTAGTTTTGAAGACAACAATTTTCTTTTGTAAAAATGCCTTTAAAGCTTGCTTGTGAATGATATAAGTTAGGTTTGATTTCTATCTGCAAAGTAAACTGTAATTCTTTGTATAGATTATTCAGATTTTCCTCAATTTAAACAAAAGCAATGTACTGAAACAATTGAATAAATATACTGAAACAACTAGAAATGTGTCCATAGGACACGAATGCCCCCACACGCCACTGTTCTGTCAATCTTATGACTCTAGGTCAAATATTTTTTGCACTACATGTGCCACAAGTTGAAAACTAAAAATCAACAAAGGGCCATAATTCTTTTAAATTTGGTCGCAGCAAAAATTCCTTCCTTTAAAACCATCTACACATTAATGTTGTTCATCCATGGAAGTTTAAGCAAAATCTGCCATCAGGTTTAAGAGGAGTTGCCTTCACAAAATTTCTACATAGTATATAGTGAAAAATCAACAAAGGGCCATAATTCTGTTAAATTTGGTCGCAGCAAAAGTTCCTTCCTTTACTACCATCTACATATTAAGGTTGTCCCTGTGAGTTTAAGCAAAATCTGCCATCCGGTTTAAAAGGAGTTGCGTTCACAAAATTTCAATATGGTATATATTGAAAAAATCAACAAAGGGCCATAATTCTTTTAAATTTTGTTGCAGCAAAAATTCCTTCCTTTACTACCATCTTCACATTAAGGTTGTTCATCCCTGTAAGTTTAAGCAAAATCTGCCATCCGGTTTAAGAGGAGTTGCATTCACAAAATTTCTACATTGTATATAGTGAAAAAATCAACAAAGGCCCATAATTCTGTTAAATTTGGTCGCAGCAAAAATTCCTTCCTTTACTACCATCTACACATTAAGGTTGTTCATCCCTGTAAGTTTAAACAACATCTGCCATCCGGTTTAAGAGGAGTTGCGTTCACAAAATTTCTACATAGTATATAGTGAAAAAATCAACAAAGGGCCATAATTCTGTTAAATTTGGTTGCAGCGAAAATTCCTTCCTTTACTACCATCTACACATTAAGGTTGTTTC